TAACCAATCCAATTTTATCGGTTTGAAGATTTGAAAACTCAGAACGAGACCATTACCGTTGCACTCAAAAACTAAACAAACCCAACCCAAGAATGCAGTTTGGTTCTGTTCTTCTGTTCACTTGATAATTTGAACACTCCTAATAAATAAGATTCAATGAAAATTTTATTTGAAAAATAAGTCTTATTTATATTTTTTATTAGGTAAATTACAAATATACCCCCGGAGGTTTTCTTAAAATACAAATTATTCATGTGGTTTAGAAAATTATAAATATTCTCTTGTCATAATTTTTTATTTAGCAAAATTAATTAAAAAATAAAATTTCTAACTGCTCTCATATTCAATAACAAAATTACCTAAATTATTAACTAAAATAATTTTTTGACATTATTAAAAACTGTCAATTGATTTGATGATTTATTAATAAAAGAAATTATTTGTCATGAAATTAAAACTTCAGTGAGATGTAATTTTCAAAACAATAAGGAATAATTTATATTTTAAACAAATATTAAGAGGTGTATTTGTAATTTATTCTTTTTTATTTATTTATTTTTTCAAGTTAACACTTGTTGTGATGGCAACCTATGCTGATATTCTTATCTCAATTTCGGTTGCCTTATTTATTTGCTTATTACAAAAAGGAGAAACTTGTCCTCTAACCCATTAAGTGGGAGCTCTTACTCCCAAATGACATGTCATCTTATGATTGGCTGCTACACAATTCAGAGTTGACTAAAATTCTCATCCAATTCTATAATAGCGTTATATGCCAATATTTGCGGTCAATGATAACTGATAGTTTATCTAGTGAACTTGGGGTTATAATTCTCAACAATGATTGAGACCCTTTTTTAGAGATTCCATAATCCTTTTAGATCTCAATCATTGATGGTGCGGATCTCATACATATATGAATAGATCCTACACATATATTAATAGTTGAGATCCAAGGTCTCTAAAAAAAAGAGTTCTAAATATTTTTCTATAATTCGTCAGCTATGATAGGGACTCCTAGGACCCCACACACATTTGTGAGAGAGGGAGGGAGGAGAGAGAGAAAAATATAAATAAATTATAGCGATTCCGGTTTGTCCTTCCTTTATTTATTGTATTCCGGACTAGGTTCCGCAGTTGTGTTGTTGTCACATTCTCATTTCTATCATTTACTCCTTGTAATCTGAGTCTTGGGTTGTGTTGGGCAGGTTTGAAACAGGTTGGTTGTGCTTTGAAACCAAAAGTTGATGCCCAGAATTTGGCCTTCACGCTCGAGCGGGGATTTTGACGCTCGAGCGGGCGTTTTGACGCTCGAGCGTGAATTTCCATCTCCCAGTATTTTTCCCTGCAGGTCTTCGAACGCTCGAGCGGGAGTTTTGACGCTCGAGCGTGACCCTTTGATTTTGTTCCTCCGCTCGAGTGGGGAGTTTGACGCTTGAGCGGGGACCATCGCCTGCAAAACTTCTGCAGGTGTGCAATTGACGCTCGAGCGGCGCTTTTCACGCTCGAGCTCGAGCGTGAGTCTGTGTCTGACGCTCGAGCGGGGCGTTCCACGCTCGAGCGGGGAGTGCAGTATATCAGTCCGAGTTTCACCTTTTTGGATCACTTTTTCATTTTCTTTCTCTCTCTTACTTTTTGAAAACCACCATTGGAGACCACCTCACTCTAAAACTCAACCTTCTCTCTAGAGTTTGATCTAGTAGGAGTAACCTTCTACCCTTTGGCCTTTGTAAAAAGTGTTGAGTTGGTCGAGGGCTACATTTTGATCCAAAAATTTCTTGATTTGGAGCACTTCGAGATTTCTACATCTTCTTCCTTGGAGCTCCGAATTTGAGGTAGGGATTCCTACTCATCTTTATGATCTTTAACCTAAATGTAGGGCTTTTTGCATAAATGATTTGGTTTGGGAAGTTAGGGTTTGAAATGTGTTATATTGAAAATGAGGGGTTTTGTCTTTTGACTCATATATATATATATGGGGTCTTAAAAAGAAATTATTGATGTTGTTGATGATATTTGAACCTTTGGGTCAATATTGGGAAAAAGGGAGAAAATGCCATGTTTGGGCATATTTGGGTCATTAGTGTAATTAATGACATCTATCATGGAATCATGAAATTTAGTTGGAAATAATGAAATTGGTATAATATGAGATGGAATAGTGGAGTTGGATTTATTAATCACTCACCTTTGAAAATTGTTGATAAATTATCTGTTGATGTAATTACTCTCTGTTTAGAAATAATTGCTTTGGGCTATCGGTGGAGGATAGTCTTGATTGTTGTAGACAATGCATAATGATTAGGCAAACTAAAACTAATCAATTGAATATGTCATCGAATATGACGATTGGAATAATACATCAAATTTGTGTATTGGTTGATTATGTATATGATATGTGTTTATATACATTGTATTGTGTGAGAGGAGATTGGGGATGTACTCCACGGTTTAGGGGAAGATAGGGAATGGACTCCTAAACCGGATATTGTTTGGGAGGAGATAGGGGATGGACTCCATCGATACAGCAAGTATGTGTATCTATTGAAGTATTGATACAACAAATCTGTGTATCATATACGAAGTACGAGAGTGTTTGTTTGAGATTGATACAACAATTATGTGTATCTGTTGTAAAGTAGGAAGTGTTTAATTTGAGTTGTTATCTCAATCGAAATGGAAGTACTGTTGATATGAGATGTAATCTCATGTAAATTGTTTGGCCAGGTTCTGAGCCATAGTCATGAATTGAGAAATTAGATAAGAAATGGGAAGTGAAATGAAGCATGGACACATTTGTCATGTAATTGAAATGGGATATGAATTGATCTATGTTAGTTAAACATTTATCGAATGCTAATATTTTAGTTATTGCTCATATTATGTTTAGCATATCTCTACCGGGCGTTGGCTCACCCTATATGGGACATCATTTTCAGGTTCAAGTAATATGCCGCCTCCGAGGTCATAGCTTGGATGGTTGTTGGAGTTGAAGACTCTTTTGTTTATTTTTGTGTATTACATGTATATCAAGCCAAGGGCTTATTTTGTGTAGAGTTAGTACTCTTTCTTTTGTAACCAAGTGTTGGCTTGAAAAGTTGTAAGCCTGTGGCGCATTTACTTTTGTTGTCAACATGTAATACTTTTGGATTAAACACTCTGATGAATAGAAATATGGTTATTTCTCTTACATTTATGGATGTCGTGAATGCATGATTTATGGGTTTATTTTGAGGGCGTTACATAAATAATAAGTGGTCATAAATCAATTGGGATTGTTAGGGTCACAAATTTTGAGGGACCAAGTATTATTTATAATACTTTCTGTGCCGTTATTGCATTTTGCAGGATGCTTTGTTGGGTAAGAGTTTCCCCCCTTGTCGTCTATAACAATTTTAATAACAAAATGCCTGCTTTGTGCCTCAAATGTGCAAATTTGTGTCTGTAATGATTACAAGGTTCATTGCCCATTCTTGTGAGGCTTTTCCCATATTAAGCTTATTTTGTATCTTAATTCTCAAACTAGGCCTTTGGACGGAATTCTCAAACTAAGCTAAAGCGATATTACAAATAGCGCTTTCACTGTTTGGAGCCCAAAATGTGATGAATAGTGAAAACGCTATTGCAAACCACGCTTTTAATTAAGAAAGCGTGGTTGCAAATCACGTTTTTAACATAATTTTTTTTTTTGAAGAAAGCGTGGTTCCAAACCACGCTTTCACTGTGCATTCGTTTTCTGAAGAAAGCGTGGTTCCAAACCACACTTTCACTGTGCATATAATTTTTTTTTTGTTGAAGAAAACGTGATTCACAATCACGCTTGCACTGTGCATTGTTTTTGTTCAGCAAACGCTATTTGGAATCATGCTTTCACTGTTGATAAATGAAAGTGTACGGGGAGCAAATATTCCGGCAAGCCCGTATTCCTTTCTTCCGAGCTCCGTCGATGTCCGATCACCTGCGAGCAAGTAACGGTGAGCTACCCGGCGGTGTGTGGCCGGAAAAACCCTCCGATGATCAAGTTAGCACACACCTTAGGATAGAGAGAAAGAGGGAGAGAGGAGTTTAAGTGTAAGAAATTCCTTACGAAGTGTTCATCTGTCCGCGTATGGGGGGCGCAGACGTGTTTATATACCTTCTGCGCCCCAAATCTACTCCCAGTGTCCTCTCAACACGTGGCACTACTATCCCATCTGTCAGCATAAACCTTGCTGAGCACCACCTAACCCAATTGCCTGCCTGTTCTAATTTGTCTTCAACAATCTGTATCTCTTTCATACCGCCGTCGTTTCGGAATTGATCAGCTTGATGTTGAATCCACAACATCCATGTTGAACCAATGATTGCGCATAGCATTGAATTCCTTCGAATCCTTCACGCTTAAATCTCCGAATTCCATCGAAGAAAAAGAACACTTATGAAGATGAACAATCAAACTCTTTGTTGTATGCTCTTCAAACCATGAGTTGAATACTCGAGTGAGGTAGTGCCACCAATGGCAGCAAGAGATACAGGTATTAGAATCATAGGACTTGAGTGAATCTCCAGATTATTTGGTTGCGTTGAATATATATCTTGCATTTATTTTTTTATGAGATTACATATTTGAAAATAATTATTTTTAGTAAATTTAACGTTTGGTTAGATGGAATGGATAGAATAAATAAATAAAAGACTATTTTATTTTTTTTTAATTATTTACTAAGTAATAGCAATATTAAATATATCTTTAATATTTTAATTATTTTTAATTAGATTAAATAAAAATTTATTTTATTTTATTTTTTACACAATTAAATAAATTTATTTTTAAGAAATTAAATAAATAAAATATCAATACAAATATACATTATTTTTTTAATTAAAATTTTAAATAAATTTGTTTTTAAAAATAATAATAATCAAACAATGAAATTAAATAATATATATATTAAATTTAAATAATGAAATTAAATAAAATATAAATAAAATTTTAAAATGAAGATTATTCCATGATTCGGATCTCTTGTGTGAGCAAATAGCCAAATAAGCTCAAGTCCTAATTTGACTGCATCAACAGCCTCAAGTCCAAAATTTTCTTAGATGCTTTTAGTTTTAAGGAAGTACATTTGCAAAGTTGGTTTAATGGTACGCTATTGTTTGAATGACAAGTTGGGTTCATGTTACTAAATTTTTTGTTGGGTGATGAAGTTGTTTATATTTTGACAATGCACATCTCCATCATCTCTTATTATACCTATACATCGATACCATACCATTCCACTATAAGCATAGTTATGTGTCACCTAACAGCAATGTCCACCATTTCTTACCAAGCAAACAGACAATTAAAAAAATCTACAAAAGAGAAATAGAGACAGTTCGGTATTATTAACAGTGATTGTTTGTAAAGTAATGGCATGAGCAAGTCCCTATTTTATCAGCAATCAAACAAATTTTGAATGTTTTCACCTTTATTTTCAAAATTATTCTCCAAACTACGAAATTTATTAAGAATGCCTAAGATTAAAACAACTAAGACATTAACAAAACATAACTACTAGCCACTAATGTCTCCTTGTAAAAACAATGTTTCGATCACTGTAAGCCTCATCATGAAAGTCAACTACACTGGATCATTTGGATAAATTGGCAATTCATCGATATCATCCGTGTGGGGATCGAACTCTGTGTTCATGAATGGTTCACTGTCTGAGTTGCTACCCTCTCTGTGGCTACTTGAAGCCAATTTTTTACACGTCCGCTTCGTGTGTCCGATGCTCCTACAGTAGCAAATAATGCATAAACGATTTTAATAATCATATGCATGTAACAGGATATTAAAAGGTCATACAATGAAAGTACCATACCTACAATACCCACACCGCCTTGGTTTTGGAGGTTTACCCATACAAGATGTCCCTCTGGGGTTCCCTTTGGTCTTCACTACATTCGGATCACCAACGCCATATAGTTTGGGTGCAATATTTTTGTCCCCAGCCTCGGCGTTACCTTCTTTTCTCATTGCCCAACGTTTTTTCATCTGCGATGTCAGCTGGAAAGCTATTTCCCTTGCCTCTTCAAAATCTTTGTCCGCGTGTGAGGCATAATATGACATTTCACTAAAACAGGAGCTGAGTATACCAAACCGAGCTGTCTGTGTTAGGGTGCTACAAATTTGGGTAAGACTTGGTTGTTGACACTTTGACCTACCACGTCTTGTCCATCTCTGCAAGACACAACTCGGTGGAATACACATTAATTGTTCAGATTTCATAACAGCAATCATGTGGCAGCAAGGGATGCCAAACGACTCAAACTTCAAGCAACAACATTTCATTGTGATATTAGCTGGAAAATACTCAACCGTCCACGTGCATGTTGGTGCCTTGTACTCACCAAAACGGTAGGTGCGATGATCCTCCAGCTGAACTCTTTCCATCACAAACAATTTACCCTCTTTCCTGATTTCATGTTGAAACAATGAGAAAATCTTCCGAGTAAAGAGTTCAGCTGCATGTTTCTCTAAACTCCTCAATGGCGTAGTCAAAACCGGGAAACTATTCTCTGTTTTAGATTCTGTTTCTGCCTCATTAACACGCATTCTAGCAAGAGCCCTATCATACTGCGCTACAAATTCATACAGCCTAACCTTTTGGTTTAGGAATATATTGAAATATGCATTTATACCCTCGACACGTTGAGTGCTCCTCATTCCAGCAAACATGTGACCACGGAGATATGCCTCAGCCCAATTATCACGCTTCAGATGAATATCCGACACCCAGTTATTGTTCTCCAACTTGTACTGTTTCACCATAGCAGCCCAGGCATTGTCAAACTCATCAATTTTACATTTCTTCAACATCAACTGTGCAAAATCAGTTGTAAATTCTGGTATGTGGACATTTGTTGAGGCATTTTTCTCCAGATGCCAAGAACATAAACGATGTCTGCAGTTTGGAATAACTCTTTTGATTGCCTGACGCATTGCCCTATCACCATCTGTTACAACGGAGATGGGTCTTTTACCATCCATGGCCTCCATTAACATTTCCAGCACCCACGTGTATGTCTCCATTGTCTCATCAGGCAACAAAGCACATCCGAATATAGTTGTCATGAAATGGTTACTCACGCCAGCTAGAATTACAAATGGCTTCTTATATGCATTTGTACGATAAGTTGTATCAAATACCAATACATCACCAAATGCAGCATAATCCATTCGAGACCTACAATCTGCCCAGAAAATCTTGTCCAACCGGTTGTCCTTATCGACGTTGTATTTGAAAAAAAATAATGGATCTGCATCTAATTTAGCTGACAAGTATCCTAACGCACCCTCTGCATCCCCTTCTGCGAGTTGTACTTTGCGCTCAGCTTGGAATTGATTGTGCAAATCTCTATGAATGAAGCCCACCTTCTCATAACCCCCTGACTGATGGACCATAAAATCCATGATCTGACTCGTTTTCATACCCACATTGCGCATGGCCTTTGCTTGAGCTTGGTCTGCACTTGTTACAAACCTATGCGACCAAAGAAAAGGGACGCAGTGTGGTGCTGCCAACGGATGGTTGTGTTCCCCTACAAAGTGGGTCACAACATATTTCCTAGCTGTCTTGTCATAACGCACACGAAATGTGGCATTACAAAAAAGTCTAGTTTCTGCCCTAGGAGTTCTTACCTGTTCCACACGTTGCAAGTATTTCTTTTCTCTTACACCTTCCCTTGAACAAACCCATTTCCTACTCTCTACAAATTTGTTGTCTCCAGTAATTCTTTTTCTACTTCTTCGTACGCTAAAACCGATGACCTTAGCGTATGCATTGTAGAAAGTATAAGCATCATCCTCTGAATTGAATTTCATTTGCAACACATCTTCCTTAGTAAGCATTCGTAAACTATCATAGGTTTGGGAAGCTAACCCTTCTTTCACATCAACAACATCATCCTTGCCATCTAAAGCAAATTGATCATCAATTTCAGTATTGACCTCTTCAGGCCTACTACTTTCAGGTTCATCCATTGTATATACACTTCTAAGTACCCTATTAGCAATTAAAATGAAACAAGTCAACTAAAAAACACACATGCCATTGCGCTGCTATAATTTACATCTCCAGGACAAATAAATATAATAGCACACCTGCGAGTGCCTTGCAATCAATTTAAAAAAAAATTCAAACATGTCTGCAAGCACCCTACTAACAACTAAAACCAAACAAAAAACAAAAAAACCCCCCCCCGCCAATATTGTGCAACTAAATTATTACTTCTTTATAGAAAATGAACAAATAAGCACACCAGCCCGTGCTATGCTATCAATTATACGCCAATAATAAAGAAGCACCTGTAAGTACCCTACTATTAATTAAAATAAAATTAATTAATTAAAAACACACCTACCAGTGTTCTGTTTTAAATTAAAATCAAACAAATAAATAAAATAGCACACCCGCCCGTGCCCTGCTATTCGTTAAAATCAAATAAATAAATAAGCACCCCAGCCAGTGCACTGCTATCAATTCAAAACAAATAAATGTACCCTATTAGCAATTAAAACGAAACAAATCAACTAAAAAACACACATGCCATTGCGCTGCTATAATTTACATCTCCAGAACAAATAAATATAATAGCACACCTGCCAGTGCCCTGCTATTCATTAAAACAAACAAATAAATAAGCACACCAGCCAGTGCCCTGCTATAAATTCAAAAACACAGGATCAAGTACCCTACAATCAATTAAAATGAAACAAATAAATATAATAGCACACCTGCCAGTGCCCTGCTATTCATTAAAACAAACAAATAAATAAGCACACCAGCCAGTGCCCTGCTACCAATTCAAAGCAAAAAATATCAAAAACACAGAATCAAGTACCCTAATATCAATTAAAATGAAACAAATAAATAAAATAGCACACCCGCCAGTGCCCTGCTATTAATTAAAAGCAAATAAATTAAAAAGCATACCTGCTAATGCAACCGCTACGGAGGAAGGGATGGAGGAGGTATAAGTTTACTTGTACGTGAAGATGGAGAAATTGAGGACCTATGACAAACAAAAACAGAACATCGAAATAGAGTTAGTAAAGAAGACAATACTTAAGGAAAGTAATGATTATGGCGAGAAAAGAAAGAATCTATCTACGAAAAATATTATTTTGCACATCTTTTCACCTTAACAAATTGCATAAGCAATAACAGAGATAAAAGTCTACGACTTTTTAATTTTATTTTTTCTATTTTCATTTTTGTCTCTTTATAAACAAAATAATAAAAGATTTGTTGTAGGTTATTTTATCCAATTTGTGCTTATGACCTATTGGCGATGCTTACGACTCAATTAATGGGCTTACTAGTTCTGACGTGATTCTTGTTTCATTCAATCATAATATATATTATGAGTTATTTTGAGGATTAGGGTTATGAGATTAAACAGAAGTTTTGCTACAAAAATGACTCTTGATAGAAACAGTCGGTCATTATAATTTCTCTTCTTTTGATAGTTAAACCTTTTGTCGTTTTTTGCTCGTGGATGTAGGCTTTTAGACAAACCACTCGTATGTTTGTATTCTTGTGTGATTCTGCTGTGTTACTTTGTTTTCGTTTGTTCCGTCATGACAAAGTTCAAAAACTTGTGATAGCGGTTTTCAAAAATGAATATATGATATTTCTAAACATTTTGTTTTCAGAAAAAGTTTGCCAAACTAGTTTTCTACTTTTTCTTTCCCCAAAAAATTTGAAAACAAACCAAACATATCCATGAGCAGTGACTGAGCATGGTATTGTTGTCACAACAAAAAGCACAAACCTACCCTTCTGGTAGCTTTATCAACTAACATGTTAATGTTAATCAAATTACCTCAAAAAGGGCTTAAGGGAACATTAAACATTAATCTTTTGGGAAACCTCTTCTTAAATTCTGTAAAGACAATGTTATCATGGGCCTACCTTTTTCTTACATCTCTATCCACCTGACAAGCATGGATTTAACAAAATTTAAACCCTATGGCAAGCAAGGTATAACATGATTCAATTATAGAATTTATTCCAACTTTTCGTCCTTATGTATAGCTTACCCTGAGCCACTGCAAAACCACACAAAAACCCATTTTATCCCCATCCTGCCTTCTTAATTCCCAAAAAAATGGAAAAGAAGCCCATAATGCAGCAACTGGCCAAGAATGTCCGTCGGATGTCATTATCTGATGACAGTGCCATGATGAAGCAAATTCAGGGAACCCATTCGCCTGATGGGCGTGATGTCTATGCCAAGCCCATTCTCCAAGTCATTGAGGACATCCTGAACCATGTCACTCCTGACTTTTCTGGTGTATGTACAAATCCTCTTATCCTTTCTCCTCAAAACAGAACGTTGGCGCTGTTTGGGAAGCTGCCAACGAGGCTATTATAGCCTCATTTGATAAATAAGCCAAAAAGTGGCACTGTTCACAGTTTTTTTGGAGGAAAAAAAAAAAAAAAAGCACTGCGCACAGCCAGAATTGATACATCAATGGGAAAATTACCATTTTGCCCCTCTATATCAATTTAAAAAATAAAAAGTTAGGGACAAATTTGTCATTTTAAATTTAAACATCATTTCAACACACGTTCCAATACAAGAACCCAACTAAAAATTCATCTCATCTTCCCAAACACCAAAACTGAAATAACCTACTAAAATAGCCAAAAAGCCAAATGGCCTACTAAAATAGCCACTTTCCAAACGAGGCCATTATGTTCTACAAGTTTCATGCTATTTGTCGCTAGGGGTCAATTGTGTTGTTTGTTAATTCAAAACAAATAAATTTAAAAACACAAAAGCAATTACCCTACTATTAATTAAAATGAAACAAATAAATAAAATAGCACACCCGCCAATGCCCTACTATTCATTAAAATCAAAGAAGTAAATAAGCACACCAGCCAGTGCCCTGCTATAAATTCAAAAACACAGAAGCAAGTACCCTACTATCAATTAAAATGAAACAAATAAATAAAATAGCACACCCGCCAATGCCCTACTAT